TAGTTTAAGAGCTTAAGCCATTGGAATTCTTAGAATATAATTCCTACTCACTTTTTTTTGTTTGGGGAAGTTTCGGCTTTTTTATTGTTGCTACTTCTTTGTTTGGGGGCCACACCCAGTGGAGCTTAGGCCTTACTCCTGGCTTAGGCATCAGCCCTGGTGGTGGTCAGGAGGACCAGATGGGGGTCCAGGAATCAAACCCAGTCTGTCACATGGAAGGCAAATGCCTTGCCAGCTGTACTATCTCACTAGACACAGAAAGTTTTAATTTCTGGAACTTTTTTCTAAAAGAAAATTTAAAAATTCCTCTCTCTCTTTGTGAATTACTTTGATCACTTCTTTGATCACTTGGGGGACTGAGTCCCCTTTAACAAGAGCCTGACATTCCTCCTCCACCCACAGAAAGCAAATGCACTTCTTCCTACAGAGGAGGGCCGAAGTACTTTTCACAAGAAAAGGGCCATTCAAAGCAACACTTTCCTAAGCTTAATAATCATAATAAAAAAAGGAGTTGTGGCTGAGAAACTGCCATGATGTCATCCAAGTTTTATCTTGCATAAGCGGCAAAGTGAGGAAATTCCAGAATTAATAAGTCGGCTGGTACAACGGTGCCTTGAGTCAGAAAGTTCAGGATGTTCTTTTCATACTCACGATTGCACATTTGGCCCCACATTAGCCTTTTCGAGAATAATTGGCTCCTTCCGTTTTCAACCTGCTAAAACACTTATAAATGGTTCTGTTTAGAAGAGGTGCACATTTTAGTTGGATGTGATAAATAGCCACTTGGGCCCAAAATTATCCTCCTCATTGATTTTGACTTAATAGCCACTCAATGCTTTTAGTTGCCAAGTTCTTTCAAATATTGAGTTAAGAAAAGTGAAAAATGACTGAAGGAAGGAAAGAGGTAAGGTTCCAAATAACCTTTTCCTTCGTAGGTCTAGTAATTATGTAGAGCCCAATCAGTCAGCTACCATTAAAAAGTTGGTTCAAGTAGTAGAGTTTTGTGACCCAGAAGTCTGTAGAACAGGGTAATGGAAATTGAATTTCCTCTAAGTTTTGGAAAGTGGAAAATATTTTCACTTAAAGGAATAGTTTTGGTGTCGTTTCTTTCCTCTTTCTTTCCCTGACTGTTCCCTTCCAGTGGACAGTAAAAGGGATGACAAGGATCCAAAGGGAACAGGATATGAAGCAAAAATGAGCAGCTTTAAACAGAAAACACTTTTGTGTCTAATTTCCAAGTTAATCATGCATGTTGCTTATTTCATTTCAACACTGTCTCAAAATTCAGCTTTTTATGATTATGAGTGTCTGAATGACTTTGGAAAATGACTGTAATTATTCAGTTTATAGCTGATTTTGCCCAAAATTAAGATGAAGTTATATTTTTATTATTTTGTTTAGACATAATAAAATAGTTTTAAGACGTTATGAACCAGAAGTTCTTGAAACATATAATTTAGAGCCAGACTCTCCAAATTCTTCCCAACTATGAACTAGAGTTAAACTAATCACCTTCATTCTCTGAAGCACAATTTTCATATATATTATAAATAAGTAAATAAAATGGATGTGTATATATATATAAAATCTATATAGTGGAGATTATAATTCTTTTCTCATAGGACAGTTATGAAAATATAACACAATTATTACATGTTTATTAAACAGCCTTTATAAAGCATAGTATGGTAACTGACCCTTAGGTGCCCATCAGGAGAATTATTTTCATTTCTATGCTTTTTCTTTTAATTTTATTTATTTTATTTTTTTCTTTTCCTAATTTCTATAGTTTAGCGATGTCAGGGATAGAAGTCAGTAGCATGCATGCAAAGCATTCTCTTTACTGTCAAGCCATATTCATGGACCTTTATTCTATTTTGGGGGAGGTGGGAGTTGCATCTCACTGAGTTGTACTCTGAGGCTACTTTGGTTTCTGTGCTCATGGGTCACTCAGGAAATGCTCGGATCAAACAGGGGCTGGCTGTATGCAAAGTAATCACCTTAACCCCTGTACTATTCTGTTTTATTCTATTTTTTTATTGCTTGTTTTTGTTTTGTTTTGTTTGGGGGCCACACCCAGCAGTGCTCAGGTCTGACTCCTGTCTCTGGACTCAGGGATCACTCCTGGTGGGCTTAGGGGACCAAATGGGATGCTGGAGATCAAACTCAGGTGGACTGTATGCAAGGCAAACACCCTACCCACTGTGCTATCACTTTGGCTCCAGTTTTCTTCTATCTTTAATGTATATAAATGTGACTGAAAAACACTGTCTCAGTCTTTCTGCTGTTCCAAAGATGGCTATCATTTTTCTTTTGATTTCGGGTTGATAGAAAATCCATTCAAAATTACTTTTAAATTCTTTGTTGTGTAGCAAGTGGAGTGTGAAATTTTGGCTTTTCTAAAGGTGTCAGACAGATGAGCTGGAGTTAATAACACTTCCAGGAAAGGGAAAAGCACTGTGGTGAAGAGAGGGTCATCCCGTTCATTCCGAAGTAAACTTCAAAAATAATCAAGGCGCTTACCTTGCTTGCAGCTGATCATGCTTCTGTCTCTGGCACAACAGACAGTCCCCTGTGATCCATCAGGAGTGATCCCTGAGCACTGATCCAGGAGTCAGCACTGAGTACCACTGGCTGTGCCCCTCCCCCAACCTTCCCAGGAAAGAAAGGAAAACAATACTGGGCTATCTATGCGACTCATGTGTGATTGAGCCACAATTACATGGGTGAGGCCCTGGGTTTGATTTCTGGCCCCATGTGGTTCCCTGAGCACTACCAGATGTGCCACCTTAAGCATGCTGTCAGGGGTGGTCCTTGACCACTATCAGGTGTGGCCATAAACAAAAACCAAAACTCTTTGGATCCTCCCTTCCAGAGTATTCCTTTAGAGTACTGGGGGATACTCCTCTATAGTTAATACATTTAACTGCAGGTCCCTTTTGGTGATTGACAGAATGGTGGCACTGAATATAATTTAACTATTTGTGTAGCAGTGGTAGAACACATACTTTGCCTATATGAAACACTGGGTTCTATCCCCAATATCCAAAAATATTGCTTTTAATTTAATGAAAAATTGTAATTTTTCCCAACTGCTAATAAAATACTAAGCCATTTCGTCAAAACATATACTAGACTATCATGTATTTTTTAAAGGTTATATTGAACCCAAAATAAACTGTAGGTGATCAGAACCTCATATCTAAATTTTTATCACTAATACCAACATTATTAGTTTTAAAATTGGTAAATATCAAATCATAATTGAAATTAAGACATATTAAATATATTTAAATTATGTAAGTCATTCATAATAATTTCATCATGCATAAATTCCAGATTCTAATATATGCTCTAAAGATTGTATTTTTCACAAGATTTTTTTGTCTAATGGGACTGGAGTGGTAGTACAGTGGGTAGGGCGCTTGCCTTGCATGTGACCAATCTAGCTTTGATTCCCATCAGCCATTTGATCCCCTAAGCCTGCCAGGAGTGATTCTTGAGTGCAGAGCCAGGAGTGAGCCCTGAGTACAACTGGGTGTGGCTCCACCCCCACAAAAGATGAAATAAAATAAAATTTGTTTGCTTAATGTCTAGAGGATGATTAAAACAAGCAACCAACTCCAACACATAAAGACATTTATTTTTTCAATAGGTGATATTTTCTTTACATTCTCCTTCCTATCTACCACATCTACCACACTTAATCTAGTAATAGTTTTGTATGTATGAGACATATCTCCCCTGATATAAATATCATGAAACTCTGAAGTTACCAAAAATGAGAAGAATTGATGGAAATTTCTTGTCAGTTCCATCCTGAAAGTATTAAGTATATCTTCCTCAATTATACTTTAAGACCAAAAATATTGTAAGATATACCAATGGTTTTCTCTATGAGTCTTTTATACCAATATATTCATGCACCTCCTGAGACGTGGATTGCTTACTATTTTAGATACTCTTGTGTTCTCTATTTCTTGTTCTGTTTTGTAACATGTAGGACCTAGTACTTAAGAATTTGAGCAGGATTTAGGGCTGGAGAGATAGCAGAGTGGATCAGTACTTGCCTTCAGGGAGCCAAATTCAGCGGAGCCAAATTCAGTCCCCAGCATCAGATATTGTCCCCTGAGTCCCGCCAGGAATGATCCCTGAGCACAGAGTCATGAGTAACCCCTGAGCACTGCTGGTGTAACCCCAAACAAAAACAATTTAAAGATTCAAATTCAAAGATTTGAATACAAAGATATTCTCCTTATGCATACATACATTTATTTATATATGTATCGGTTTATGTTTAATTTGTTATCACTCTAAAAAAACACATACAGGAATTTGAAGCTAATGAACACACTGCATTAGGATTTCTAAGTATATCTAGGGTAATTAAGCTGCATTGGTATGACTTACCTGAGTCATTGACTTTCAAATCGACGAACAACGGGAGGGCCAAAGTTACCTAGTACTAAACAAATAATAGCCCATAATAATAACCAATAATAACCCAACTGAACACCCAATCCAACAGAAAGTGCCATCTTGAAAAGTTTTCTAATAATTTGAAGCACATAATAAATACAAATCACTTTACAAATTGATGTTACAGAAACAAGAAATAAAAAGTATAGTATCATCTAAAAATAGCATATAATTCATTTCACAGGATATACATGACTATATATGAATTACAAATATGTGACTGAATAGTGAAAAGGCTATTCAGATGTACTTTTTATTAAGGTTTCCAAAAAAAGAAACTATGACCCTTTTTTCCATAAATATTTGTATATCATCTTATGTAACTTTAATACCCTAAATAAAACTCTGAACGAATCTGAATATCTTACATTCTATATGGACTCTTGATTTCATATGAAAAGTCTACTTGGGAGTAGATCATTTTGAACAGAACCAAAAATTAAACTTTGTAAATTATCTCTGTGAAGAGGTTGGGCTGTTTAGACCAGGTGAAAACTGAATAAAGACAAAGGAGTTAAAACTCTTTTAAAACAAGATTTGGAATTATTTATTAGTATTTGATATAAGGTTAACATTAATCACTACACAAGATAAGTGGCTGAATTGCTAATTAAATTACTGCTAAGAATGAAGAGTGTGAGGGGGTTTGCCAGTAAGTGGAGTAATGGAAGAGAAGGCCTTTTGTTCAGAGGTTGTTGTGGATATCCTACTTGCTTTTCATAAGTCTTCTGATTCTGGCACTGTAGATTCTGGCGCAGTGATCTCTTCTGTGGATTCAGTTGTGATCACGATAGGAATATTCTCAGATGCCCACCCCTTGGGGCTCCTATTAAAGGACCGTCTGCCAGAAAGAGGATTTGCAAAGGCCATGAACCTGGGATCTGTTGTAAGCAGTAAGTCAAAATCTGGAACCTTAAATTTAACCATTTTCGATGCCTTTTCAAAACCACCAAATGGGGTAGCAACTCTGTGGGAAATGGAGAAGAAAAGAAATAGATGAATTGAATGTCTATCATATTTGACAGAAAACAAGTTAGTCCACAATGATATGGGCCTGTCGTTACATTATATTCTTAGAATAATTTTCAGTTTTTTACCTCTTAGGCAACCATTTCCATTTAAGGACCATACTCTGTGTGTGTGTGTGTGTGTGTGTGTGTGTGTGTGTGTGTGTGTGATCTGGTCTCAAACCCAGAGCCTTACACATAGAAAACACACACTTTTTACTGAGCCATGTTCTTGGCCAATGACAGTGCCTTTTGGTAACTGACATATCTGATAAAAGGTAAAAGGTAAAGGTAAAGGCCCTCCCGTTGATCGTCGATTTGCTCGAGCGGGCCTAGTCTCCTTTGGAGACTTTGTTGTTACTGTGTTTGGCATATCGAATACTCTCAGTAGCTTGCCGGGCTCTCCCGTTTCAGCCATGTTGGCTGCGTGCAAGGCAGACGCCCTACCCGCTGTGCTATCTCTCCAGCCCATCTAACTGAAGCGATTGGTGACTCTAGATAACCTCGGGCCGATCTGATAAAAGAATGATATGTAAAACATAAAACATTTGTATGTTCTGTAAGGGTTATCCTGAATGCATCTATTACCTGAAATCTGAGTTCATTATAAACAGTTCTGGTCTCTGTGCCATTATTAACAATGCCTCTTCTTAAAACATTTCCTCCTTACCATCTCTCCACCTTTGCATATCCTCTGTCCTTTAAATTCTAATTTCCTTCCAACCCTCCAAGTCACACCCCTTTCCTTAGCTGAATTCCTGTAGCATCACTTGGTTTACGCCATCACTCTGGTTTATGATATGGAATTTTGTGTTATCAGCTTCTCTTTTGAAGAATGTGGTTTAGTTTGCATCATCTGTGAAGCTCTAAAAGGAGAAGGTTTATTTTTTCCAACTTTCTCTCTCCACCTCAAAAATCTCAATATCCAAATAAAGTCTGATTCTTCTTGGCATTCACTTGTTGATTCATTCATTAACAGGCACAGTTCTAAGCTCTGTAGATAGAGCAATGAGTCATGCAAAGCCCAGGCTCCAGTAACTTATCAAAGGAGCCCAAATGGTAAATATCATTGGGGCCAGAATGATAGTACAGAGGGTAGGGTGCTTGCCTTGCATGCTGCTTATCTGGATTCAGTCCCCAGTACCCTGTATGGTCCCCCAAGGAACTGTCAGGTGTGATTCAAAACCAGAACAAATAAAAACAAAAACAACAATAAAAGGTAAACATCTAGACAGAGTTCCAAAAATGGTAGAACAATATGAAAAGCTGAAAGAAGTTGAAGTCACAGAGCATAGCCAGCTGAATAGATATACTGGGAAGATGTCTCTGAAGAAGTAACATTAAGCCAGTTATTATCAGAAGTTAACCTGAACAGAACAACATAATCCCTCAGCAACTCAGGCAGAGCTTCTTTAGAGAAGTTAAGTCACAAATAGTATTAGCATGTTTGGGAAATGAAAGCAGGCTGAGATTGCTGGTAGAGTACGTGTGGTAATGACATTGGTTAATAGGACTGTACATATCTGGGGGGTACAATTTTACACTTTTTACTACCATACCACATGTACTGTCAGAAGTAAGCAAATTGTCATGTTTCTATGTACTTCACTCCTTAAATCCCATATTCATCCCTCGTTCTATCCACTTGATATGTCTACCTTATTTATTATCACTGTACTGCAAGATGATTAGAATTCTCCCCAATCTATCTTTGCAGCACATTACAATATAATTGTACTTGATGTATTGCACTTTAGAAGATCCTAGCTCAGAAACATTTTGCACCATGCAACAGACAAGACTAGATAGATTCTTTGGTACCATGGAGATTATTTTAAGCCCTGGAATAGATCTGACTTTATTTGAAGTTGAATCACTCTGATATTTCCTGAACATCCTCATTTCTGTGAACAGTTATATGTTAGTAATAGTGACGGATCACAGAGTCTGGTGAGTTGAGGAGAGAGTGACCAATGGACCTTGAAATGGATGGCTCTGATGCATAGAACAAGCATTACTGAAGCGAAAAATATGGGGAAAGTCAAGATAAAAGGTGGTAGGAAAAGGGTGATTGCAATTAAGGTTTTGATGGTGACCTGGGTGTTGATAATGACCAACCATTAGGAAACTCAAGAGGGACGGATGTGGGATTAAGAAAATGATGCATAAAAGCAAGTCAAGGACTTGAAATTTTGAATGGAGAGTTGAGTGGCTCATTTATTTATAAAGCAGTGTTGCCATGAAACAGTACTGGTGAGGGGACAGTGAGACTAAAATCTTCCTTGAGGTAAATATCTGCAGACTGGATGTGAGAACCATATGGGTGTTCACCGTTAGGGCCCCAAACTGTTAATCTGGAGCTAAAAGAGATGAATTTGAGAAAGAAGTTGAAGAATGTAGATTATTTCTCAGGTACTTTATGGTGACTAAACATTAGAGGAACTAGTAATGATGAAAGTTAGTGTTTGAAATATGGACAGTCCTTCAAACACTAGAAATTGAGCTTCCATATGACCCCGCTATACCACTTCTGGGAATATATCCCGAGGATGCAAAAAAGCACAGTAGAAATGACATCTGTACCTATATGTTCATTGCAGCACTGTTCATAATAGCCAAAATCTAGAAACAACCCAAGTGGCCTAGAACAGATGACTGGTTAAAGAAACTTTGGTACATCTACACAATGGAATACTATGCAGCTGTCAGGAGAGATGAAGTCATGAACTTTGCTTATAAATGGATAGAAATGGATAGTATCATGCTAAGTGAAATGAGTCAGAAAGAGAGGGACAGACATAAAAGGACTGCACTCATTTGTGGAGTATAAAACGGCATAACATGAGGCTGACACCTAAGGACAGTAGATATATGGGACAGATGGATTGCTCCATGGCTGGAAGCCTGCCTCATGAGCAAAGGGGAGAAGGCAGGTGGAATAGAGAAGGGATCGCTAAGAAAAAGATGACTGGAGGAACCAGTCGGGATGGGAGATGTGTGCAGAAAGTAGATAAAGGACCAAACATGATAGCCTCTCAGGGTCTGTATTGCGAACCATAATGCCCAAAAGTAGAGAGAGATTATGGGGAATCATATCTGCCATGGAGGCAGAGGGAGGGTGGGAAAAGGGGGAGTTATATCGGGGATATTGGTGGTGGGGAATGTGCACTGGTGGAGGGATGGGTGCTTGATCATTTTGTGATTGTAACCCAAACATGAAAGTTTATAACTATCTCACCGTGATTCAATAAAATTAATAAAAAATAAAATATGCAACTACATTATATATATTAAAAAAAAGAGTAAAGTAAAGAAAGTTAGTGTTTGAGTGGATACCATGCACCAGACACTGTTCTAAGTGCTTCCCGAGCTCTCCTGCTAGAGGAACCTGCCTGAGATGATGTTAAATCACAAACACTAACTCAGTCTTTTGAATGATCTGAGATTTTGCATCTTTTGTGAGTACTTTTTGACTTTATAATTCTCTCATTAAATTCTCACAATTGTCTTCTGACTTGATTCTACTTCTATTCCTACTGAATTGGTAAAATTGAGGCACAAATAAGTGATTTTTATAACATTACCCACCTATTCTAGAACCAGACAGACAGACTTAGTGGAGGCCCACTTTTTTTGGTCCCAGCAATATCCCACAGCATTTGGGTCTTGAGATCACTTTCTAAGTAGATCAGTGTACTTTGGAGTATCCTGTTTCTAAGTCAGAGGTTCCCAGTCTTATTTGGCCTACTTCCCCTTTACAGAAAAAGAAATTACTCTGTGACCTCCTGGAAATCTACCTTCTTTAAGCAAATAAACAGAAAATGCACTCCTTAACCCCCAGGGACCTGAGGCCACTACCACCACTCTGGATAGTTCTAGAAGCGGCACAGGGATCACCCACTCAGGAAAACTGTGTCCATATCACATTGCAGTTACTTTTGCAACACAAGTAATTGATTCAATGGTCCATGTTTTTTCATTTGATTTAGAAATTAAAGTGCTTTTTGACTGAAGTTTGATTCAGAACATAAGTCAAGCTTTCTATTCTTGGATGTCTCAGATGTGCAACACAATATTTGATCATTTTGGCAGCTTGCCACTGTATATAAACAGGTGGTTTAGTTATTCCCATGCAAGTTATTAAATTGCTTCTTGTACCGAGTTCGATTCCTCTGCCCCTCTTGGAGAGACTGGCAAGCTACTGAAAGTATCTCTCCCGCATGGCAAAGCCTGGCAAGCTACCTGTGATGTATTCGATATGCCAAACACAGTAACAAGTGTCACAATGGAGACGTTACTGAGCCCACTCGAGCAAATTGACGAACAACGGGAGGACAATGACAGTGACAGACAATGACATATATATCATATTATGCATATTATATATATATTTCTCTCTATGATTTGTTGCCTAAATTCTGAACCTCATCAAATATGGTGGGTAAGTATGGAAAATGGGTAGGAAGTGTCTTATGATGTGTCATGCGGCCGTGAAGCGAAGCGGCCGCGAGGTACGGAAAGTGGCCTGGAGCATGGCAGTAGTTGGGTAGTGGAGGTCAGCTGCCGGGCCTGGGTCCCTTGGGGCAGGGAGGACTCTTACCCGCCCCATTCTGGGTCACCCGAAGTGAAAACAGCCTGGTGTGAGCCAGCCCCAACGACAATAAGCAAAATGAATATATGGTCATCCACAGGATACACAAGAATAGAGGTGATTATTTCTAGATGCAAGGAGCAGTCGCACTTGAATTTGATCAGTTCAAACAAATCTTGTATTTATTATTTACAGCAGTAATTTTACTCTTACTTATTTTTCTGAATTAAATAAGATTTTAAAATGTTTCTTGTCACTGAAACCCAGTATTTGGACTTGGCATGTGGAGTATCACTTTCCATTTTAACCCAGTTCTGTTTTGCTTTACCCTCCCAATTTATGGGTCATTTTCTTCTCTTTGAAATGAAAACATCCCCTTCCGTTCCATAACCCATGTCCGACCACGGATCCAATGAAAGGTTGCTGTTTGAACAGCAGAGTTGTCTTTTCTTTGGCACCATTGAGACTATATCCTGTTTGTCTGAATTTTTATGGCCTCTGTACACAAAGAGAGCCCATTAACAGAAATGTTTAGCAAAGTGAGAAGCGGCAGGTGAGGTTCCTAACATCTCTAAACAGATTTTCAAGTTTTAGTGAAGCAAAAATTCCCACTAAAAGATTTGGAATACTCTACTGAAAGGTAACCACAAATCTCTGCAATTCCTGTAGCCTAAGTCCTATAAAATGCCCATCTGACTTTAAATGAATTTTTGTTTTGTTTAAGGGCCACACCTGGTGTTTCTCGGGGCTCTGTGCTCAGGGATCCTCTTGTAGGGGCTCAGAGACACAACAGGGTGCCACGATTGAATAGGGGTTAGCCATGTACAAGGCTAGTGCCCTACCCACTACACTATCACTCCGGCCTTACAGCATCATTTTGGAACAGATTGTATCATTAGAAAGGGCCTCTAAACTGCTTTCCATGCCTCTCCTCAACCCTTCCTTAAATTCTATGGTTACTCTTCATGCATTAAAGAAAAGTATTACCAATAGATGGTCTGGAGCGATAGCACAGCGGGTAGGGCGTTTGCCTTGCACGCAGCCAACATGGCCGACCCGAGTTCGATTCCTCCGCCCCTCTCAGAGAGCCCAAGCTACCGAGAGTATTCGATATGCCAGACACAGTAACAACAAAGTCTCCAATGGAGACGTTACTGGGCCCACTCGAGCAAATCGATGATCAATGGGAGGGCCTTTACCTTTTACCTTTTATTACCAATAGATAGAGTGTTAGACCATAGTGGTATTAATCATCCTAATAATATTAATAGAAAATGATAATATGTTACTAATAATAGATATAATACTAAATGGTTACTATAGTAGTATATGAAAGCTACATTTTCAATAGAAAAATGCATTTTTTTGGTTTGTGTTTTGGGCTCTACTCTTTTGCACTCAGAGGCAACTCTTGGCTTTGTGCTCCTGGTGGGGCTTGGGGAGACAGTGGATAGTTCTGGGAATCAAATTAGAACAATATTTTAAGGCAACAAAAAGACTGCTCTTTAAGAAACACTTGTAACTTATAAAAACATATACTAGTTAACTTACTAATTTTTATTTTATTTTTCTATTTTGTGTGTGGGCTACTCCCAATGGTACTTGAGGTCAGGGCTAGCCAAAGTGGTGCTGGGGTCACCAGGTCAATACCCTTTGGTACTGGGGGCTCACCAGGGCCACTCTAGGCAGTGCTCAGTGGGCATGTGGTGCTACCAGAGATCAAGCTCAGGGCCTGGCACATAAGGCAGATGATGCTCTACTTCTTGGGGCACATCCCGGTTCCTTAGTGATTTTAATGAATATCATTAAGCATCCTCTACGTTGAATCTGGTTTTGGGGGATATGAAACAACACACTAGAGATCTTTTTCTCCAAAAGGAAAATCAAATGGTCAAAGAATGAACTGTGAAATTATTAAAAATGTATCGTGAGTGTGGTTACTGTGTGCATCAGAACCGCAAACATTAGTGCTATTGTTAACATGTTACCTGAACTAGAATGTTTAAATTTTTTGAAATTAAGTTTAGGAAAAAAGAAGAAAAAAAACTCCAATTATGAGAAATGATAGATATGCTTTTTAAAGAGTTTTGTAAGATTAAAGAGAGGTTTAGAGTTTCTATGCTGTTCCTTTTGGATTCAAGAAACAACCTAGTTAATATTAAAGCTAAAAAATGAAAATATATATCTTGGGGTTGGGGAATTGACTCAATAATAAAGCACATGCTTGCATGCATGAGACGTGGGTTTGATCTCTGGAATCTCAATAAAGTATAATATATGTTATAATCCAGAAGGAGATAAGTTTATTTAAAAATAATAAGTAAAGTAAAGTAAAAGTAAAGGCCCTCCCGTTGATCATCGATTTGCTCGAGCGGGCCCAGTAACGTCTCCATTGGAGACTTTGTTGTTACTGTGTCTGGCATATCGAATACTCTCGGTAGCTTGCCGGGCTCTCCAAAAATAATAACAGGAAAAATAAATGTCTGATGTGTAAATGGGAGGACAGTGATAGTGACAGTGTAAATAATAACTTACATATTATCTACAAATATTTTTGCAGCATAAATCTTGGTTTATATGTACTCATGTCTTGTAAATAAATAAATCCATAAATTACCTTTAATCTGGCTTAAAAATATAAATTGAAATTTGGAGTGTCACAGTAGTTCTCAAAGTCCTGTCAAGTGAATTCTTTCTGAAATAGCACTGTGTTTGAAGCAACACACAATTTTCGAATTAAAAACTCTTATTAAAATAACATCTTTCAATGTGGGAGATAACACTGATGTTAAAACATTGCTAGTTTCTGAATCATTGCCTTCTTTTTCTTTTTTTAGTGTCAAAAGATCAAGGATGACATATTAGCATATTGCTTGTAGGGGTTATGAAATATCCAGTATTGTGATTTAAGGTCTAAAAGTAATTTTTTTTCTCTACCAGAGGGTTTGGTTGCCTGTGTTTTGGTATATAAAGCAGGACCAAGAGTGGTATTCTACCCAGATTATCAGACCGGATAACTGAATTACCTGTTAAAACTCCTGTAATCCGGCAGGTCTGTCTTGCCTTCGGGCATGAAAAGTTTAGGATATAAAGCCTCTAAAAGCTCAGGGTCACCGCTAATGGCCTGTTCCCAAGGTGACTGATAGTACTTTGGGATCGCTGTGGTGTTGAATCTTTCTGGAGGGATTTCCTTCAGAGGTCCCGAATACCCTTTGTAACAAAAACAGAATAAGAATTAGTTAATATAGAGTGCCTCGAGCATTATTCTTCACCTAACATTGCACCTGATTAAAATGTTCATGCTGGGGCAATTTGAGCAAGAATACATTCTTTTTATATCTCTCAGACAAGAGGAGTCTGAAAGTGTTTGGCTTTTTGTTTAAACTTACTGCATCTTAAAAAAGAACACCACTTTTCCTCATGTTTATGATAGTTATTTCCTCCTCGATTGTTTTAGTATATATTTGCGCACTGAAATTATTCCTTTAACTTTTAAATATATAAACCAGGTTTTTAGACTTCACACTTCGTGAATTGAAAAATGTCCTGAAAGTGTCTCTTATAGGTCAAATCTCTGGGGAAATGGTAATAAAAACAAAATCTCCCTTTTCTTGCTGCTGACTCGTTAGAGCAGTCCATGGGTCTTGTTGATCTTAAATTGCCCAGCAGTCTGTGTGTTGCAAAGGTTCCAAACGAGGAAGCAGGAACTGGTCTTGCTGGCCTCTGCCTGCCCTCATCTAATTCCCTGATGTCTCCACCCTGGGTTGACTTTTGTTTCTGAAAATATCTTACCTAACTCTGCTGCTTTGGGTCTCACCTCCTCAATTTGTTCTTCTCATGTGGGCTAAGTTTTCTCTAAGTGCCATTCAAAAAAGTCTCACAAATTCCCAGCATAAACATGAAGCCATGTTCTCATGCACATCTTCTGTCACCCAACACACAGCTGTGTCTCCTCCATCCACGCATCCTTGTGACTGTGTGCCGCCCCATCTGCTCTTTCCAACTGTGCCAACCCCCTTCCCATCTGCTCTCTCCTCCTTCCAGGTTTTCCGTCTCTAACATGATTTCTTTTTGTGTTGAAACCATACCTACCCTTTATGGGAAGAGGTTCATCTCCCTTAACAGCCTGTGATAATCCCCTCTTGAGGTGACTATCATGATTTATTTCATATTCTTTGACTCGCCACCAGAGTTGAATGCAGACTCTTTTGGTAGGCTGTTTCTCTCTTGCTTGCCACTCGAATACTGCTGCTATTCAAAGCTCTTCTAGTATACATTCTGTTCAAGAAATTCCATGTCTTATTTGTGCTTTAATTATGACCTATAAGTTCATGGCTCCAAGTTTCAATTTATAAAAATAAACATCCTTCAGACTTACTCAACAATCTCTTCTATTTGTCCCAATAAATACTATGTCCCTAGTGCCCCTTATCACCTGTCTAATCCTATATGTAGATATTGTATCATATAACCAGATGCCTTTTATGTCATTTTAGTGAATATTTTAATCTGAGGCTTTATTCCAAATTCCCACCACAAATCTCTTAAGTATCATTAATGATATTTTAAAGTATTTCTAAAACAGTGGCTTTCAACTTCTATGTTAATGAATCAAACTTAGGCAACTATTGAAAAGGTTGACAATGGGTTCTTCCTCCCACAGTTTTAACCTCAGTAAGTCTCAAGAGTGACCTACAAGTCCTATGTTAACAAATCACCGGGAATCTTTGTTCCAATAAATTCCTCCTTACTCTTCCTTTCCATTACACCAGCTTTTTTCAGGCCTTGCCCACTTTTTGATGGACTTTATAAAAACTCTCATACTAATTCTTCTGCTCTCTACCTTTCTCTCTGGGACCCCCCCCATTGGTGTCCAACTGACCTTTGACATTTGATTGTGGGGGGAGGGGACAGGAGTGGAGAGTGATGGGAGTAAGGTGGTGCTGAGGCAGGGAACCTGGGCCTGACATATTCAAGGCATGTTGCTCAACTGCTGACCACATTCCCAGACCCTAGTAGTGAGTTTTTGAACTAGAACACTTGAGTACGTGACAGAATTTCCTTCCTCAAGATGCTATCTTGGCACCTAGGACCAACATCTATATTCAACTCTACATACATGTTCTAGTCTCATCTCATCTCTTCTCACATTTTGTGCCCCAGAACTCTGGATCTATTTGTTGTACACCCTTGTGCTTCCTTACTTGGTCCATTTATCCCTGTGCTTAGATTTCTCTCCCTAATTCTTCTCACCTACGCTGTCTAATTTCAGGCTTTGGTTTGGGATGAGGTCTATGGTGAAGCTTTCCTGTCTTCCCTATAAAAGCATAGTTCCTTGGTATTCACAGGTCTGTCATCACAAATACCACATTTTATTTCCTAATTCTTGCCTAATGTTGATCAGAAAGCAATCATGTAGAAACAGAATGTTTTAATTTTATATTTTAAAAAGTTCCTCAAAATCTCAACACCTGAATACAATGATTTTATTTTTGTGTTTTTTCTCAGTCTTTCTTCACTGTAAACATAACTTTCAGCATTATGTAACTCCTGCATATATGTAACTTTGTATTGTATTTTTAACCCAGCTTCTTTTCTTTAACTTTTATTTTTTTATTTCTTAGTTTTTGGCCACACCCAATGATACTCAGGGGTTACTCCTGACTCTGCACAACCATATGGGATGCTGGAGATCCAACCTGGGTTGGTGACACGTAAGGCAAGTGCCTTACCTGTTGCGCTATCTCTCTGGTTCCTAACCTATTTTCTTTGAAATAGTTTGTAAAGTTTCTAGGTCATGTTCACAATAATTAAAGGGTTTTATAATGATATATTAAACTGAAGAATAACAATTGGTTCACTCTTTTCACATTTGAAAAATATTTCAGGGTCTGGAGAGATAGTAGTGTGGGTATGGCATTTGCTTTGCATGTGGCCAAACAATTGATTGGGGTTTGATTATCAGCATCCCATATGGTCTCCTGAGATTGCCAGGAGTGATCCCTGAATGCAGAGCCATGAGTGAGTCCTAAGCACAGCTCAGTGTGGTCCCAAACCCATGCTATATATATATATATATATATATATATATATATACACATATTTATACATATGTATATATATAATGAGAAAAGTTGTGTTATTTTAGCACCATTTACTGCGAGATCCAAATGGTGTGAATCAGCCTTAAAGTGCACAACACTTTATTCACAACGTAAGAGGATTCATTACCTGGTGCAATGCTGTCTGGATTTGGGGGGCTTCGTGGGTCTGGGGTGTTGGGAGGAGTGAATGGAGCCTGCTGTGAACCCCCCTCCAGGGTGCTGCCATCCAGTTTTCCATTCTGCATTGCAAGATTGTGCTGTATTTGATCAAAAGCAAAATCTGCTTTAAAATATAAAATGTTAGGCATGCTAATAGAAGATATCATCTGTACAAGACTCCATCTGTATTCAGCACTTAAACATATCCCTGCTTCACTGCTTCCTGGAACCTCATCATTTACCTGGTTTTATAATTGAGTCATTGAATGAAATATTCCTGTTGTCTATCTAAAATATTTTATACCGGCAATACAATAAATAATAAATAATAGAGTCTTACGTGCATCAGACAATGAGGGCTTTGTATAAGTTATTTAATTTACTCTTACACTATTCTAGCAATGCATATCTATTTAATTTGGGGGAGCACACCCAAAAGTCCTCAGGGTTTAGTCTTGGCTCTGTATGCAAAGATCATTCCTGGCATCCTTAGGTGACTGATCATATAGGGTGCCAGGGATAGAGCCCAGCTCAGCTGTGTACAAGGCAAGCGCTCTCCCTAATCACCATACTATCACTTTGGCCCTTTATTTTTTAAGTCTTTACAAATCTAACCATAGACCACAGTAGCCAATAAATTATCTTTTATATAGCTGGCAGTTAATTAGATTCTTTAATATCTTTCTTTAACTTTAAACTGAAGTATATAGCTGTTGTGTAAAGCAAATAAATAAAAACAAAACACTGTCCTCCCGTTGTTCATCAGTTTGCTCAAGTGGGCCCAGTAACGTCTCCATTTTGAGACTTGTTGTTATTGTGTTTGGCATATTGAATATGTCACAGGGAGCTTGCCAGGCTTTGCCAGCTTTAAACGGAAGTATATAGCTGTTGTGTAAAGCAAATGAATAAATAAATAAATTTATGGACCTGTAGCAGAAAGAATTTGAGATTTTGAGAAAGTAAAATGCTTCCAGAGATGTCTTTCTCTTTAAGTTCTAGGAGAACTTGCTTTGTTATGATTGTGGCAATAACATGGCACTTTCAAAACCATCAATTTGCGTTTTAGTAGTGAAAAATGAATATTGTAATAGATAATGTCTACCAAAGTAGCTTTGTATCTTTAATGAAACATTGTTTTAGTAAAACAGTCAGTCCATTTTTCAGATTTGTGAAAAACAATTGAATACCATGGCAAATAACTGATTCTGATCTTATTTTTGACTTTCCTAATGACAAACTATTATATTGCTTTTAGATATAAGTTCTTCTAATAAAATACCAATTTACATTTTAATACTTAAATTTTTTGAACTGTGTAGATAAAAGACTATTTTGCTCTTGTATCCCAATACTTACTTATGTAAAAATTATCATTTCTGGGTCTGAGCTGATAAAATTATGATGGAAAGAGGCCACAGAGGTCTCATTTATTAGGTAAATTCAAGTTCTTGATGACTGGGTTTATGAGTGTATTTTGTTTAATAGGCAGCAACAGAAAAATCTTAAACTTCTGGTGTAATGAGGTATTATGGAATGTATTTAGCACTTTGTTTGGCTTATTTCCCCTACTTTAATTGTTATTGTGATTTATAATACTGTGAATGCACCTTTCTAGTGTTAAGCCCTTTGAATTAGCTATTATCTCGAGTGTTTCACTGCATCGATTATATTCACATTTTTCTTTTTTTTCATTTCTGACCCTATGTTACATTTTTGTTTAAAAAAGAGGAGGATCTTGCTACTTTTCCCCCTTTTATTTCCATATTTTTCCTATATTTCTTATATTTTTTCTATATTTCCAGCTGAATATAAGAAGTTCAGATGTATTCTGTATAAATATCTCTTCTAATTTCCTGACATGTGCTCATAAAGTGAATTTCACCCATACTACAAGCCATTCTATTTACATTAAGACTCATAATAACAATTTTCTTCACAGGCGTTTTCTTAGGGGATTGATGATGAGCAGGAAAAGCAACTCTTTCTAGCTAGCCATTAATTATCAGGAGACACCTGGTACCTCTATCACTGCAAAGTATACAAACAAAGCCTTATAATAACTGGGTAGTGACTTATTTTAGTTATAATATAAGCCTTAAATTACAGTGTTCCATCATGCATGAGTCCCTTCAGGAAAACTCAGAGAGACAAATGAAATGGTGTTACTTTTTCCCCAGTTACTTTACCCTAAACAAAATAAGATGAGAGCAATAACATGACTTATAAACCAAAAAATTATAAACAGATGTCTAATTTCTATTCCATGCTTTCCGTTGACATGTCAATAGAAATAAACTAGTTTTAAAAACATCTGTTCTATCCTTCCCCATACATCCACAGAACAGATGTTTTAGAAATGCTCTGGACTCCCAGTAGTGCATGAAATATAGAAATATGTTCCTTAGTCTATGCCACTTACATAGTAGATCATACCTTGATCATACCTTGATCATACCTTGATCATACCTTCCACATAGTAGAAGGCTTTTTTTTTCCACAGTAGGGTTATTTTTAAACTGAGTAGATTTCATTTGGTTTTATATTAGAATTACTTTTCTCCCTCAATATTATTTAAAATTTTGAGGTATTTTTTAAAAAAGTCTATAATAGTTATTAAGGACACATGTTTCTTTCGAGAGATATAAATAGTGGATTTTTTTGGCTGTACAGCCTTCAGTAGCAGTTAATAGAAGAGAATTCTAGTTATCATGGATAATATCTATTGAATTTCCCCCCTTAGATCCTTATTTTCTTCATTCATTTCTGTTTCCATCCATTTTCATTTGAATAAGAGAAGTGGATAGCGGCTAGGAAGTGGAGGAGTGATTGGGGGGCATGCTTGCTGTGTCCCCAACCTGGGTTCCATAGGCCCTGGCACTGCTGCTCCAAGAAGCACGGCGTTCTCAGGCCCTTGCACTGAATTACCAGCTCTGTTGGCTGAGAATTGCCAGTGGGGTACTGGGACTTCTGTGCAACATTTGGTAGCCTGTCCCCATCCCGAAACCAAAAACAAACCAAGAACAAAACAAAAAATAAACAAAAACAAAAAACTGGCAGCAAAAAAGGTAACTTGAAAAAGATAGGAATGAGGCCTTCCCCATTGTCCTGTGTGTCATACAAATGTACCTTCGCTTGAAGATTACACCTTTCCTGCTTGTGGTTGTTATGTCAGAGGAGGCATGTTTGACTTGACTTTGCAAGTTTCTCTTTAGCGTGAGCTTGAACTGTGCTTATTTTTTCCTACTTTTTAAAGAATACTTAATTTGGGAACAGACAGCACTGAGTAGCAGGAGTTGGCTTATTTGGCCATCAAACAATCTCATAATTATGGTAAAATAAAATGTATGATGTATGAATACAAGTTAAATCATTATTTTGATCATACCTGTAGCTCAAGGGAAGCGGAGCATCTCATTGCAGAAAATGTAGTCAATAATTTAGTATGACATAAGTCATAGAGATGATTCAAGAAGGAGGCAGAAATAAAATAGCTGTGCTCTCTTTCAATGTAATTTTATCGCTCCATCTCCAGACAATAGCTACATTTACTTATCTTTGAGCTGTCAGTATAATATCTAAGAGACAGTAGGCATTTAATAAATATTTATCAAAGTATAAATAAATGAATGAAAATAGACCTTAACTTAATCTTATTTTTTAAAAATACTGCTGCCGTGTTAACAATGCTTGCCCTAATTTGTAATCCAGTACCTTTAGAAAGCAGAACTATTGCAAGATCTCCAGACTGAGATTCATTATCTTCCTCAATGCTTTTCCGTATAAGTCATTTTGAGACATTTAGGTGAGAGAGCATAGACCCACAATGCTGGAGATTACTTTAGAGAACATTTGAGTACATACCTTTATTTTCTAAATGAGTAAAGAGGTTTAGAAACAGCAAAGATATTTTAAAGTTAACTCCAAATCCTACAGCTTGTGAGAGAGCCAAAGGCAAACCCTGATCTCCTAGTTGCCAGGCCAAAGCTTCCTTTAATTACAGTAAAATTGATGTTGGTGCCAAGACCTCTAGAATTCTGAGAGCTGGCTTCCAGTCTTCTCTTTTATGGAGTTGCTGAAGTAAAATCAATGCACTTCTTTGATTACAGCTTTCCTCATTTCCAAAGAAGGAAGAGTACATTTCATCAGACGTTGGACTATGTTATGTAAGGCAGTGGCACACGCCCTCATTGCATACGTGTTCTGAATTATTTCTCAGCATTTACTTGTTTATTCAGTTTTTCTGCTCAGGTCTTCTTTTTAATTATTATTCATTTAACCCCCCCCCCCAAAAGATACTTATATATTTTATGTATAGCCAGCAAAGCGATGCAAGATTATTCTCAATAATTTGAAATACTTGTGATGAGAGAAGATGTTACATTCTATTTTTTTGGGAGGGAGGGTGAGACAGGAAGGGGGTTGGGCTCGTACCAGGAAGTCTCAGGGATTACTCTTGGCTCTGTGCTCAAGGATCACTCTAGTGGAGCTAAGGAAACTCTATGTGGTACTAGGGATTGAACCCACATGGAAGGCAAGTGCCTTGCCTGCTGCACTATCTGGCCCCATAGTCTCTTTTTGTATTTTTTTAGGGGAGGGCTCCCAAAGAGTGCTCAGAGGGCCCAGGGGCCCATGCCAGAGAAACTCCTGGGAATCTATTGGGCCAGTGTTTGATTCTAGGGCCTGAAAATGCATTGCTGCTCAGCCTTGTTTCATTCTTAAAGATGTTTTAAAATTTTATTTACTTAGTTTTTGCAGTGCCAGGATCAAACCAGGGGCCTCACACATGCATGCAAGTGTTTTTTACTGAGCCGTTCCCTGGCCCTGCAATGCATTTCAATCTCCCTGTGCCTTCCTCCAGAAGCACGGTGAAAAAATTACTCTGAAAGATGTAAAGGTCAGTTATGAAAACCTCCATTAAAATTTGGTCAGACGTCTAGACTTCTAGATAACTTTTCAAAGGATGCCTTAAGCCACCTTATTTCATATTAGTCTGTAAAGCTGCTTCCCTGTGGTTGCTATGGAAAGAATATGATTATATAATCATACTGTCAGAGGGGATAAAGATGATTTTAGGCTCATACTGTTTTAGCCACAGACTCTTTTGATAAGAGGATACTGGGCACCATTATAGAGTAACATTACATTACAGTTATTCATGATTTCAAGTAGAAATTCTTCCTTCAAAAATGGAAAGACAGAGCTATGGAGGTGGTACAGGAATTGATCCTGGCTTCATCCCAGCTTCACTAGCATCCCAAGCACCTGTAGATGTGGCCGCAGTGACCTCCTGAGCTTTACCAGGTGTGGCCCTGGTGGTCTCCAACCTGCAGGACCTGACTAGCCCTACATCCTGGGAACCTCCTGTTGAGCTGCCAACCTGTTTGGCCAAGAATCCCTGGGAATGGCCCTGCACCCCCCAGTGCTGTTTGAGAGGCCATTCCCTGATGCCGTTTATTCAAAAAGTGAAGATAGTTGAATAAAATTGTATGTCTGATGATTTCATGATTTAACTAGCTTCAATTTATCGATGTTGGATGGTCATTACTGAGACATAAAAGAAAGACTAAATTAGATATCTTTCAACATTATTAATCAGAAAGATAATGAGGACAATAGAAATGTTGGGAATAGATAAATCTGTAGTGTCTGTGGTTGTAGATATTCTATAACATGTTTTTATTTACAGGTTTGGGAATTTGGGGACACACCCATAGGTTCTCAGAGCTTACTCCTGACTCTGTGCTTGGGGATCACATCTGGCAGTGAGTGGGGGACCATGTGGAGTGAACTGGAGTCAATCACAAGCCAGGAAAGCAATGTACTCTCTGTACTATCTCTCTAGCCACTCTATGTTTTAATAATTAGAGCAAGGGAGCTCAGTGGAATCAACCTGGCTAAAAAGAGTAGAGCTATGCATTCAGAACAACTTGTTAGCAATGGCATCTGGTCAGTTTTCAGGCTTCAGTTGGAAAGGAAACATCTAAATTTTTCATAGCTGTAGGAAGAAACCTCCAGCAAACAAAACACATTTATTAAAGTCCCCAAGGTTTCAAGTTTGGAGCCATTATAATATCCCTTTTCGACTCCATGCCTGGTATTTTATTTTTAGAGCCACTTCCCAGTGTGAGTTGTTTTGCTCCTGTAAACTTCTTCCTCTGCAATCTCTCTGAGTGAATGTGACCGAATGAACCACTGTGGCAGGGGGAGAGCACAGACCCAGCAAGCCGCAGAGTGAGCTCCCAGCACTCCCTGGGTACCACTGTGTGTGGCCTCTATCAATGAAACAAAAATGAAAAATAAATGAATGGCATACAAATTCAATACAGAACAGGTAGTTGAACTGGTTAATTTGTCTACTAACTTGAGGGGAATTGTTGCTCAAAAAAAATTGCCTGATTTTTAACAACACAAAGATTTTGTTGTTTATAAGTTACAGAGTGCCCTATGCTATGTATAGAAAGTGCAGCAAGCCAGCTATATCAATCCCACACACATTTCAGTGCTGGGATGTACTCAGAACCTCAAAATGCTTACTCTTTGTGCCGTGCTCTGGTCTTTGGAAACATTTCCGTTTCAAACATTTAACAAGTGGTGATAAGATTATGGAGACTTTTAATACCACCACTTTCCACCCCCCTCCCTCTTCCCAGCAGAACAGACCAGTTTTTCCACACTCTAGGGGCTGACAACAGCTCATGGAACTCAAAAGTTACTCATATCATTCACAGTGCTTCTTTCGTTTATACACCTCAATTATTCATTATCACAAAAGAAATTCTAACAGAATCAACAAGGAAACGTAGAGTCTTTGTTGGGGAATCTAACAGTAAGACACATCTGGAAATGCTGCTGCCACTCAAGTGCCACCAGGTAGGTGTCTACTTACATTCATTTGCATTTTGGATTCATACTGGAAGTTTTCGAATGTGTACTTGTCAGACCTTCTTTGTCGCATCTTAAATAATCTGGCCCCACGGTTACTGAGATGGGATAACTCTTCCAACATTATGTCTCTGGGGACGCTGACCTTTTTGCCGAGGTTCATGCCATCTACACCTGCAAAACAAAATTCATGCACCTGAAAATACCAAAGGAAGCAGTGTTTTTTTTTTAATACCTTTCGCTAAATCCCGTAATTTAGGGCCTGCTCAATATGCGTGCGGTGATCAAGGTCCAGTGTTATTTACTTGTACTGCTTTTAGTTGAGTTCTGACTCCACTGCTTTCTAACTGTAGGATCATCAATGTATTCTCTATTTTATTCTAAACCTCAGTTTTCTGATCTCTAAAGTGGAGCTGATACTAACTATAGTACCCACTACATAGCCATATGTGAGGGTGACATAAAATGTGTCATATAAAGTAATTGGCTTGTACATGGCATGTAGAAAGAGTGTATAAACACTGCAGAGATTTCTTGCTGCTGTGAACTGGTGTTATATGCACAGCAAGAAAATCTGGGTCTCTTAAGATTCTTCTGACTGAGCTAATATTCCTTCAGGATGTGGCAAATCAATACCAATAATTAGACTTTTTGAGATGTTTGGGGGGAAAAATACCAACAGAATTACATGTCAATATTTTTCACCTTTTTTGGAAAAAGAAAATAATTTTATTTTCATAATTGATGGCACATGAAGAGGTACCGGAATGATTGTAAAAATTATAATACCAAGATTTCTGCTTCTAGAAAGATAATCTATATAACTTCTCACTGTATGTCCACTAAGTATAATTAAAAGGCCTAAGAGTTATGTATGAAATAAACATAAGAGACACTGAAAAAAAAAAGAGACACTGAAAGGTGTGGTGTTGAAGGAAGACCAGCCAGGGAACTCAGGAAGGAACTAAGGAGTTACATATCAAAAATTCTCTGAATCTTTCTTCATTATTTTGGCCTCATTTTGCTCAGACCTAGAGCTAAAGATGCAAACAATCCAGAAACTCCAACAGGCGCAAACAAGGGCTCCAACAAAACCAGTTCTCACTAGCCCAAACTAGGACACCCTGTACCTTTGGGCATTGGTTTCTTTTACTCAGTGGAAAACTCTGCAGATTTACCTATGTGTGCTGTCTTAATAGTTCATCAACTTAGATTGCAGAATACCAAGGAATGGATGGAAGATCGTGCCTTGAACATTTACGTGTTGCAGTATATCTGGGTTGTTTCTATATAGTTCCATGAATATGGCATTTTAAAATAAGTAAAAACAGAGAGAGAAGTGGAGATGTGTTAATGAGTGGCATATATCTCTTAACTGTCTGTATCCATGGTAATATATTCTGGTTGTGGACAGGACTATAGTTTTGCAAGATGCTAACCGTTTGGTGGAAACTGAACAAGGGCTGCAAGGTAGTTCTGTATTGTTTCTTACAGGGGATGTGAACTACAACCATTTCAAAAAGTGAAAGTTTAATGAAATGCTACCAAGCCATTAGAAGACGTGGATGAGCCTTCAGTGCCCATTGCTAAAAATTCAGTCTGTAAAGGCATCAGTGGTACAATTCTAAATATGGCATTCGAGACAAGATGTAAAGATTAAAAAAAAACCCTACAAGACAGTAGAAAGAGTAGTGGTTTCCAGGGACTTGGGGGATAGGGTGGGAGAGATGTAGAGGTAGAGACATGATTTTTAGGGCAGTGAGACCATTCTGAATGACACTGGGAGAGCGGAAGCATTTTTCAGAACTCACAGAAGGAGCACCATGAAAAGTGAACTCTAGTATAAAGTAGGGACTTTAGTCCTCCCTAACAATGTCTTTTATGGATCACACAATCAAGGTGTGCAAATATGGATTTACCAACCATGATAAGTATGCCACACAAGTGCAAACTGTTAGTGACTAGGAGAAGTGTGCTGGAAGGAGAAGGGGTATATGGGAATACTCCACCCTTCCTGCTCACTTTTTCTCTAAGCCTCAAACTTCCCTGAAAGTGATCATTTAGAAAATTAATTGCAATATTTAATAATCCTTCCTAAAATAATTGAAAGGAGCTTTGTTTGACAGTCGAGTGCGGGGGGGGGGGGGGGGGGTGGAGAAATGCCTCCAGAAATGGCAATGTCTGTGCAAGAGGAATCAGAGGCCTGAAGCAGACTGGATGGGATTTTCAGGCCAGATCTGCCGAGATCTCTGGGCATTTATCTACCTTTGTTTATTTTGCAAGTGTTTATAGTTTCTGCTACTGGATGTTTGGAACAGGAAAGGAGGAGCTGAGTTATTTTTCAGTGTGTCTCTGAATACATTCCTCAGCATACTAGACAGTGTCATAGGGTGGGATATTTCAACTTTTTGATGCTGGAATCAAAATAGCAAGTTCCGTTTCAATCACAAAGGATAGAAGCAGCACAGAATTTTGTGAGTGATAATTTGTTGCAGTTCTAGGGCTTGGGCAAATCCTTCTTTGAATGTTCCTTAAAATAGCAATGCAAGCGAAGGGGAAAAGAGAATTAGTAAAATATTAATGTGTAAAGCTGAAATCTACAAAGGTTTATCTTCTACATAGACCTATTCTCTGTTATGTGATTATGTTACAAACAATATTTTAAAACATTTTGGTTTTCCCTAAAAAATCTATTTAAAGGAACTGTTTGAGGAAATAAGAAATGTCCCCCCAAAGCAATCACTAGAAAATGCATAAAAAGGTGCCAGAGGAATCATGCATAAAACAATAGTGGTTTAAAGTCTCTGCCTGGAGCACTCTTTACAATAGCCAGAATCTGGAAAAAACCTGAGTGCCTCAGAACAGATGACTGGTTAAAGAAACTTTGGTACTTTACACAATAGAGTACTATGTAGCTGTTAGAAAAGATGAAGTCATGAAATTTACATACAAGTGGTACTACATGGAAAGTATCATGTTACGCAAAATGAGTCAGAAAGAGCGGGATAGACACAGAAAGATTGCATTCATCTGGGGAACATAAAGTAACAAAATGGGAGAATAACACCCAGGAGTGGCTGAGATTAGTACCAGGAATTTTGCTCCATGACTTGGAGGCCAGTCACACATGCTAGGGGAAAAGGAAGCTCAGATAAAGAAGAGAGCACCAAATAAAGGGTGTTGTGAGGATCCTCCCAGGGTGGGAGAAGCATGCTGAAAGTAGACTATAGACCAAACATGATTGCCACCCAATGCCTCTCTTGCAAAACACAGGACCCAAAAGAAGAGAGAGAGAACAAGGGGGAATGCCCTGCCACAGTGGCAGGATAGGATGGGGGGGACGGGGGGTGGGAGGGATGCTGGGGCCCATGGTGGTGGAGGATGGGCATTGGTGGAGGGATGGGTACTTGATCATTGTATAACTGAAACCCAAGCACAAAAATTTGTGGGTCTATAACTGTACCTCATGGTGTTTCACTAATAAAAAAATAAAATAAAAAATAATGTCTCTGCCTAGTAAACATGTGGTCATGACCTTAAATCGTAAGTGTCCTACATGAGTAGGGCACCATCCTGGAATCCCTGCGGTCTGCGATCCCCAGGACCATAGGAAATTTCTGGCTGTATTACCAGCACCATAGACTGGGGCATGGCCTGCAGTGAGCAACACAACTAAAGAGATGCACAAATGCTGTGGCCCAGAAGTGCTATCTTTGGAGAACTTCTGTGTGAGACTGCAGGTGAGCTACTCATCTGGAGCCTGGGAGAGTCCCAGCACGCATGTGTGCAAGACCACAGCAGAAAAAAAGTGCAAACCTCAGTGAGTACCACAGCCAGGAGTGTAAGCACCGAACCTTGATGTGTGACCTGTGTGAGCACAGAGTCAGGTCTGTGCATACTGTTCCGTGGTCAGCATAGCACCTGTAGCCTGAACAACAGTGATGATGAGAAGGGGGACTAACAATAATAATAACAATGGCAATGCTGACAGGGTCATCTTAGGTATGTTTCTGTTTGGGGGCCACACCCCAAGGTGCTCAGGGCTTGCTACTAACTCTGTGCTCAAGAATCACTCCTGGTGGGGCTGGAGGAATCATATGTGGAATGTGGGTCACCACATGCAAAGCCACCTTACCCACAGTTCTATTCCCATGGTTTTTTTTTTGCTTTTTGCTTTTTAGGGTCACACCTAGCTATGCACAGTGGTTACTCCTGGCTTTGCACTCAGGAATTACTCCTGACAGTGCTTGGGGGGACCATATGGGATGCTGAGAATTGAACCTGGTCGCCTGCGTGCAAGGCAAACGCCCTACCCACTGTACTATCGGTCTAGCTCCCGACATTTTTGTTTTAGCCTTCTTTGTAGTAACACAATGTTTATCCTTGCCATTAATACTTAAAAATATTTTATATTGTCCCTTAGACCTCAACCTAACACCATGCACAAAAGTCAGATCAAAATGGATTAAAGATCTCAACATTAGGCCAAAATCCATAAGATACATTGAAGACAAGGTTGGCAAAACCCTCCACGATATTGAGGCTAATGGTATCTTCAAAAACGACACTCCACTGACCAACCAAGTAGAAACAGAGATAAACAAATGGGACTATCTTAAATTAAGAAGCTTCTGCACCTCAAAAAATACAGTGACCAAAATACAAAGACAATCTACAGAATGGAAAATGATATTTACCCAATACCTATCCAACAAGGGATTGATATCAAGGATATACAAAGCACTGGTTGAACTCCACAAGAAGAAAACATCTAACCCTATCAAAAAAATGTGGTGATGAAATCAACAGAAACTTTCCCAAAGAAGAAATCTGAATGGCTAAAAGGCACATGAGAAAATGCTCTACATCACTAATCATCAGGGAGATGCAGATAAAAACAACAATGAGATATCATTTCACACCACAGAGACTGACCCATATCCAGAAGAACAAAAACAACCAGTGTTGGCGTGGATGTGGTGAGAAAGGGACCCTCCTTTACTGTTGGTGGGAATGCCGACTTGTTCAGCCCTTTTGGAAAACAGTGTGGATGATTCTCAAAAAATTAGAAATTGAGCTCCCGTTTGACCCAGCAATACCATTCCTGGGAATATAATCCGGAAAGGCAAAAAGGAACAGCCAAAATGACATCTGCACTTCTATGTTCATTGCTG